GGGGGGGGGCACGCGCGGCGCTGCTCGCTATGACGGATGGCTATGCTGCCGCTCCTGCCGTGCCAATAACCACAATAGCCAAGGCCTGGAGTGCAGATAACGGCCAGCCCCGGGCCAGGGCCCTGCTGACCCGACGAAGATTGGGGGAGGGGGGGGGCTCCGTCAAACGCCAGCAGAGAGGGGGGGGGAGACACAATGCGGACTAGACGCGCTTCCGAGTAAACAAGTTTGCAATATGATCATGGCTGATGGCTGCCTGCTTTGACTATGGCTCAGCAGCGCTCCTGTCATTCTCCAGATGCCCGCCCACTGGTTCACGGAAGCGCGGCGTGCCGGCACAGCGGCCTGAAATATCTATCCAGTGAGAAATAACCCGCAAAATACGTAGAATCGAATGGGGGAGGGGGGGGGGTGACTAAACTTTGCAACGCGCCTATGTCTCATTTCTCTCTGCGGATGCGCGTACCGAGTGATTCAGAGCTCTGAATCACATTGTGTCTTCTCTTCTAGAAGACGCGGGTGCGGGCGGGTTTGCCTCCCTGCACCGTGGCTGTGACGCCTTACAGGCAGAGCGAGTAGGCAACCCCTGCGTCTTCTCTGAACCATCTTTGCCGCTTCATTGCGACGCACACTGCTTGTGCGTGCGTGCGAGAGGGGGGGGGGTGGCTGACGTGCTTGACAAACGCTCCCGAAAGTGTAAACGAGCGCACCGTCTCGTCGGTGCGTCATGTCGTCCTGTGGGTGTAGGTGTGTCGGAGGCGGCGACGCCGCGCGCTCCTCTTCTGGCTCCCACTGTCGCCCTTTCTCCCCCGCCCACGCCGCCACCTTGAGCAGTTGGTTCTTGTTCCGTTTTATTTGCTTCTTTTACAGACCGTTCGCTCGCAGAGGTGCTCGCCGCGGGTGTCCCCGCCCCGCCCCGCCCCGCCCCGCCCCGCGGTTGACACGAGCAGGAGCATGAGCAGGAAGACGGCGCGTGTCATTCCACCCGCGCAACAGCAGCAGCAGGGTGGCAGCAGCGAGCCTCGAGGAGCGCGTCGAGGACGGGAGGAAGAGGAGGAGGAGGAGGAGGAGGAAGCAGTGGAAAGTAAGGGGCGCTTGCTGTGCCCCGCTGCTGCTCTGTCGCTCGGACGCGGGGGCCCAGGCCCAGGCCCAGCCCGGCCCAGAGGAGAGGGCCGCCATGACAAAGGCCACCTCTGGCCGTGACAATACGTTGTCATCCCTCTTGCTCCCCCCAATTACCGACGGAGCGGGTAATCCTCCCGCGGCACACAAAGGCGCGCACAACAAGCCCGAGTCACTATTCAAATGTTATTCATTCATTCATTATACAAAATATTTATTTTCTTAGAAACGTTTTCTTATTGTTTTTTTTTTCAAAATTTCCGATCAGACATTTTTATTTTAAAGAAATATTTTTACAAGCTTTGTTTTAGCGTAAGTTGTTTACCAAAATGCCTGATATTGTAGCATTATTTTTTTTTTACAAAAAATTACCCAAGAGGGTCTTTATAGTCACTATTGAACAGTTTTAACATTTATTTTTTTTTGACACATTTTAAATGACTTTTGATAAAAACATGTAGTACGCTTGATGGGCCTTGAAACAGCCCCAGTAAAACAAAAGTTCGCTTCTTACTATAGTGTAAATACCATCCGCGTATCTAATAGCATCTCTGCTTGGCCATTATCTCATTTCTTTACATAACAACCATAGTTTCTGATAAAATTAAGCTAGAATAATTACTGTGGTGTAACTTTCTTTGCAAGTCACTAAACCTCTGTTCTACATTGAGATAGTCAGTTGATGGTAACAATTGGAAATTAGATAAAGTATGGAAAGCATAAAAATAAGATATAAAACTCTCCAAATAAAATGAGTGTCAAATCCAGCTGACATTACATAAGTTGATGATAACAATTGACATAAATATACACTTTGAGAAGCATAAATCAACAAAATAAAACCTGTTTCGAAATAATATGAGGGTCAGTTTTGAAACCCTTCTATTCCACACTCAGTGGATCAGTTGATAGTAATTAGCAATTAGATAAAGTATAAGAATCATAAAACAACATAAAAACCCTGTTTCAAAAATATAAATAGTATGGTAAAGTTCATTAGCAGAATGTGTTCAGAATTCATTAACAACACAAAGACTTAAAATTCATAGTTAAAACCCTTTAAGATGAGACAAAAAATGAGTTAAGAGATATGTAGATAAAATTTTAGCTCATGTTTATACACTGCAGCAGGCAAGTAAAGTAAACTGCAGTTTAAGTTGATTTAAAAAGAATAGTAGAAATCACAGCCATCAATGTGAAGGCAATTAGAGCGATCACAGGTGTTTGAAATACAGTACGTCTAATGTTAACAAAATAGTAATTGACTAGTATTCTTTTTACACCCTATTTAAGAGCAAGTTTATTCAAAGTTGATTGATTGAACGATAAACTAAATTGCACTGCTCGAACAGCTGTCTTGTCCTCATCTAGTTGCCCTCCAGTAGCCCTCCGGGCACCGACCCGGGGAGGGAGGTGCGCTCACCTCCTCCTCAGCTCCTCCGCAGGACCGCCAGGTGCTCGATGGCCTTCTCCACGAGGTCGGCCTTCTTGTCCTTGCTGCGGAAGGACACGCCCTTGTCCCTGAGCCACGCGTGCAGCATGGGCACGCTGGCGCGCCGCACGGCGTCCTCGGAGGCGAACTCCGGCACCAGCTGCGAGTCCGTGGACGTCCGCTTGGGTCCGCGCGCGCCGCCTGAGGCCTTGGGGGAGGCCATGGGGGAGGCCTTGGGGGAGGCCTTGGAGGAGGTGCCCACGGCGCCGGTGGTCCTGGGCGACGCCTGCTTGGCGGGGGCAGCGCGGGGCTTGGCGGGGGCGGGCGCCTTCAGCCGCGGCAGGAAGATGGGCTTGTTGGCAGGGATGCGGAACACCGGCACGACGGGCGCCGGCGCCGCTGCTGTGGAGGCCGGCGACCCGGGCTCGCTGCTGCGGACCAGAAAGGAATGCCGGTCGGTTAAAATGCAGGCGAGCAATGGCGAAGCTGACGACGGTGTGCTCCGATTGAGAAAAGTAACTGTTACGGCGATAACGAAAGGACAGAATCACACTTCTGGAGTTGTCTCACCTGGCCACTGAGGACGGCGCCAGCGTTGCGCTGGCCGAAGGCGACGACCTGGGCATCGGCGAGGAGGACGCCGATGTGCCTGCGGCGGGCGTGGAGTCTCTCGGCTGCGGCGGCGAGCTGCTCGCCGAGGGCCTGAACCAGGTCGAGTGGGGCACCGAGGGCACGACGCGGGCCTCGGCGGGGATGGGCGCCCGGGCCCGGAACACGGGCACGACCCCGGTGCTGGCGGCGGCCTAAGAACGAGCGTCATCCGATTAGGGAATCGACTCTGGCATGCGCCCCCCCCCCCTTTCTCATTTATCCCTTCCTGGAGAAACGACGACGTTCTCTACGTTCACCTACCTCGGGCGGATTGTTCTCCTTGTTTTCCTCCCCGCGAGGCGCCCGCTTCAAGAAATTCCAGTCGACGTTGGGTCTGCTTCCCTGCGCACAACGACAGAAAGGACGAGGCGGAATGGAAAATGAATGAAAATCAAAAACCTGATTCGATAAAGGAGGAACGCAAGGGGGTGG